CATGAGAACCAAGAATCTGGTTTACTGTGATTTTCTTTTATGTCCGTAAGCAAGGTGATATTTGTGAATGTAGTGTATTTCTTTTGCGCTGTTTTGATGCTTTGCTTCTTTGTCCCATTTCTCAGGCCCTGATGACCAACGTGTTCCAGTACTGCATCATTGCATTTCCCATGGTTTTTGCATTCTGTACTTTAGGCATCATTACTGACATCCTTCTGACCAAATCTGTCCCTCCTTCTGACACTGGTAAGGCTTGCTCATGTGCTGGATTTTCTTCTTCCTATTTTCTTACTCAACCTGTTTGAGGCTTCAGTTCTGGTTCAGTGCCTTCGTTTTCGACAGTGAGCCGGCAAGTGGGCGGTTCATGCTTTGCCAGAGGACTTTTCTTATGCCAACCCAGTCTTAAATGCCAAGTCCTAGAATGTTGGCACATCTCACATCATTTGTTTGAGAACAAAAGATAGCCTATATTGGATCTGCGTATCCACCAAGAGAGCAGAAGCATCAAAAGAGCTTGAATTATAATGATGCCTAAAAGGAAGTCAATGACCCATATTAGTTAACAAGCCAAGTGCACAGCAAGAGATAGAGCCTTCCTGCATTTCCTGAGATTAGTACTCTCAGGGCTCTTTTTGCAGAAAAAGCCCAGCAGGAACTCATTAGCATAATAGGCCACACCCAACAGCAGGAACTCATTAGCATATTAGTCCACACCCCTGACAGCACAGCTTATTAGCATATTAGGCCATACCGCCATGTTATCAGAAGTGTGGTCATCCAGCCACACCCATTTTTTGCTTCTTATTCTGTTTACCTTGTTTGTGGTCAAAACTCAGGGCTTTTTTTGGAGCAGGAACTCCTTTGCATGTTAGGCCACACCCCCCTAATGCAGCCAATCCTAATGAGTTTCTGCTGTTGGGTGTGGCCTATTATGCTAATGAGTTCCTGCTGGGCGTGGCCAACTTGGGAGCCAGCTGGAACTCCGTTCCTGTGCGTTCCTGCCCAAAAATAGCCCTGAGTACTCTCTTCGATGGCTTGTGCAGTCAGTGCCCTCAGCTTGCACCTAGATAATATATTGGTCTTGTTTCATTCAAGCACCTAAGGAGCATGTGGGAGAATGCCACCAGACTTGTAGCTGGGCAGCATTCAAGCCGAGATGTTGTTTGTGAGTAGAAGAAGAGGAGGAGGTGGAGGAGGAGATCGGAGTTATAACCCCTCCTTCACTTGGAGTCTCAGAGCGGCTTACAAACTCCTTTCCCTTCCCCTCCCCACAACAGACACCCTGTGAGGTAGAAGAAGAACAGATTGGATTTATACCCTGCCCTTAACTACCCAAAGGTGTCTCAGAGTGGCTTACAAACTCCTTTGCCTTCCCCTCCCCACAACAGACACCCTGTGAGGTAGAAGAAGAAGAAGAGATTGGGTTTATACCCCGCCCTTCACTACCCAAAGGTGTCTCAGAGCGGCTTACAAACTCCTTTGCCTTCCCCTCCCCACAACAGACACCCTGTGAGGTAGAAGAAGAAGAAGAGATTGGGTTTATACCCCGCCCTTCACTACCCAAAGGTGTCTCAGAGCGGCTTACAAACTCCTTTGCCTTCCCCTCCCCACAACAGACACCCTGTGAGGTAGGTGGGGCTGAGAGAGCTCTGACAGAAACTGCTCTTTTTCAAGAACAGCTGTCCCAGAACTACGGCTTGCCAAGGTTATCCAGCAGGTGCAAGTGGAGGAGTGGGGAATCAAACCTGGTACTTTCAGATTAGAGTCCGCGCACCTAACCACGACACCAACCATTACATCTGGCCTTCATGCGTGGCCACCATGATATGCATGTCTGCAGACCTCTACATATGGAAGCTGGATGGCCCAGGAAGCTAAGCAGGGTCAACCTGGGTTCGTTCTTGGATGAGAGACCACCAAGGAAGGCCAGGGTTGCTACTCAGAGGCAGGCGATGGCAACCCGCCTCTGAAAATTCCTTGCCTTGGAAACCCAATGGGGTCACCTGCGACTTGAAGGCAGTTTCCACCACCACCACCACATAATGGGAGTATCATTTTCACAATCCACACCTCTACATGATGAGCATCCAGCAAATAAGCCGGGCAGTGGCCTTTGCACACTCCTGAGGCACTTGCCTGAAGGTATCTATAATCTATTGAAGAATCCATAATGAAGAATGGAATGGAATGGAAGAATGGAATGGTGGAATGGAATGGAATGGTGGAATGAGCTCCTGGAGGAGATCAGGGCCCTGCGGGACCCTTGTACAGTTCCGCAGGGCCTACAAGACGGAGCTCTTCTGCCAGGCTTTTAATTAGGAGCCGCACACCACTACCACCAACTATTATTGTTAGTAACACCAGGGTAGTTGGCCACCAAATGAGAAGGGAGCACTCACTGGAGAAGACCCTGATGCTGGGAAAGATTGAAGGTCAAAGTAGACGGGGACAGCAAAGGATGTGATGGTTAGACAGTGTCATTGATGCAACGAACATGAAATTGAGCCAACTTCAGAGGACGGCGGAAGACAGGAAGGCCTGGCGTGATCTGGTCCATGGGGTCGCAAAGAATCGGACCCGACTGTGCGACTGAACAACAACAAAATACAAAGATCGAGCCACAGCATCATAAGAGACTGGTTACCACTGAATCGGGACTTCGTGTTAGATCTACAGCACGCCATCTAATTTGACTGAAGGAACAGTATCATTGAGCAATTAAGTTTATATATGATTGTTTTATCTTGTTTTTACGTGTTTTATATATTCTGGCACATGGTGCCCTTAATTGTAAGCCGCCCTGAGCCCGTTCGTGGGGACGGCAGGATAGAAATTGAATAATAAATAAAATAAATAAGTAAAATAAATAAGACCCACAAGCTGCCGGGGTACTCATCAGTGTCTTGGTTTCAGTTTAATGGGTCCATTAGAATTCTCCCTTGGTTAACCTGGAAGCAGATACAGATACATGGCGGCGATTTAACACCAAGCAGCAATCGTTCCAGGCGGGGATTGGCCCTGAGACGTGACAACGCAGTGACGCTGCTTGGCCGGAGCCAATTGGACAGAGGCCAGCGCAGGAAGTCGTCGCACAGTCGCAGACTATGGGAGCTTCCCCAGAAGGAGCCGCTGCGGAGCCCGCGGAGACAAGCTTCCACCATAAGGAAAAGAACACACACACCAGCGGGGTGCCTGGTAGGCACCCACCTCCCTATATATATACATTGTATGTGGCCCTAGTTAGGAAAATGTAAAATGCTTGTAAACCGTTCAGAGCCTCCGGGATTGAGCGGTATAGAAATTGAAAGTATAAATAAATATAAAACAAGAGTTTCACAGAGAGCTGAAAACACACTGAAAGAGGGATCTCTGCTTGGAGTGTGTTCCAAGCAGCATGTCTAGCTTCTACCTTCTAGATCCGAGGTGACCATCAGAAGAAAGAACAAATGTTTGTATGTATGCCACAAATACAATCTCTCTCTTATCTGGCCCATATTCAGCTTTATGCAGCCTGCATTCTGCTGTATTTCAGAATATTCCCATGATTATTCTATCAAGGACACTATTTTTGTGGAGCCCGTTTTAAAAATCACAGCGAAGAATTAAGTTTCCGGCTGCTAGGCCAGTTTGAGTGAAGGTCTGGACATCCTCAACCCTTTTTGTTTTTACTCAGTACATCCCTCTGGTTTTGAAAGGAACAAATTGAAGGGGAGGGGTGGGGGACAGCAGCAGGAGCTCATCCCGGATTCTTCTCAAGAGGGCTTTTGTAAGAGAAATCCAGCCTGTGCTGCTTGCTTCCTGAGCTCAGAGGCTAAATCATATTTGCATAGATTATTAGGTTTCACAGGGCTCTTTTTGTAGATAAAGCCCAGCAGGAACTCATTAGCATAATAGGCCACACCCAACAGCAGAAACCCATTAGCATATTAGGCCACACCCATGACAGCACAGCTCGTGGCCTATTAGGCCACACCCCCATGTTACCAGAAGTGTGGTCATCCAGCCACACCCACCTTTTGCTTCTTATTCTGTTTACCTTGTTTGTTGTCCAAACCCAGGGCTTTTTTTGTAGCAGGAACTCCTTTGCATGTTAGGCCACACACCCCTAATGTAGCCAATCCTAATGAGTTTCTGCTGTTGGGTGTGGCCTATTATGCTAATGAGTTCCTGCTGGGCGTGGCCAACTTGGGAGCCAGCCGGAACTCCGTTCCTGTGTGTTCCTGCCCAAAAATAACCCTGACTCAATTCAGAAAGATGTCCAATGCCCACTCAAGAGTAGAGAAGTGTTGGTAGCGTGGGTCAGGAGCAAAGTGCCCCAGTGGAATGAAAAATTACTTCTTACCAATAAGATCTTTTCTTGCCTTTTTTAAAAAAATCAAGCTCTTCTGTGTATATTAAACATCAGAATCTAGGGTACGTGTAATAAATGTAATAGACTGAGGTTTATTAGCAGAGGCATGTCTGGAACCTGTGTTGTATTTCTAACGAGGGACATTTGGGGTTTGAACGGAAGCGTATAGCAGTCTTGAATTAAAGAATACAGATTGTATATTTCAGGGGAAAGATCAAATGCTTTCAGCTCTGTAAAAATAAATG